CCATAGCACGCCCCTGATCTTCTGGAATGTGCATCTCCTGGTGATCCTAAACCCAGCATCGGTAAAAGAACCAAAGAAGCAGAGTTTAAAGTAAAAGCAGACCATTTATTTGAAGATGAGGATAAAATGTGTGGGAGAGAGCATGTGAGAGCCACTCCAGAACTCTGGATGAGTAGGTAGTATTTGAAAGGGAAATACTCCCGGAGTTTTTGTTTGCAACTCCTTGTTTTGAGATCTTTGTCCCATGTGGGCTCCTGGACTGGCTCCTTGGCTGTTTTTGGTCCTCCTTTTGGGTTTCTTCTGGTCATATGATCCCCCCCCCCAGGATAAGATTATGGGTGGGGGTTTATGGATAAATAGTTTGGGTGTATTAAATGTAAAGGGAATTCTTATGGTAATTGTTGTACCTGGAAAACCTTCCTGAGTTTAGTTTCATTGTCTTTCTGATTGCTGGAGTCAAATCTGCCTGAGGCAGAAGCTGCTTCCAGCTGCCCTTAGTAAGTCTCTCCATAACTTCTAACAAAGCTCAATAAGGCCTTCATCCTGTCTTTTTCCTAACTGTGGCTCCCTATCCCTGCAGGATGCTCAACATATATTTTAAGCGTATTCTTTTTTTCTTTCATTTTTATTTTTAATTATTCATTAGATATTTAAAATGGGGTTATTTCCTTATGTGTTATCTTATATAGCAAAAAAACCCACAACATTCTTCAGGGTACAAAAACAGGAGAAAGATTTGTACACATAGTATAAAATTTACACTTAGTTGAATAAAAGGAAAATATTCAATAAATAAATCTATGGATGAATTTTAATAGACTGCTTCCACAGCTTATCAATGGTGCTATGTATAGAAATATATAGGGATATATCCATAATTATCAGAATTAAGATTACAATTTGTTATATAACAAGCATACCAAAAATGCATGTCACATGATTCAAATATTTACACTGAATATAACAAAAATTTTTAAAAAAATCTATGAATATAGGGTACCTTAAAGTATCTTCAGGAAGCCAAAGGGTCCAAAGATTTTCATAGCTAAGTTTTATTTCATAGAAAGATTAATTTTGTTTTCAAAGTAGATTTAGTTGTAGTACTATATCACCACTATTCAATTGCTTACCAAAATATTGTTTTTCTTCTTTTTTTTGGTACCTGGGATCGCATTCAGGACCTTGTGCTTGCAAGGCAGGCAGCTAAATGCCTGGACAAAGTATTGTTTTCTGTAAAATGTTATTTTAAAAAAAAGATGAAGTGCTTGAAGGAGTAAGAATGCAGTAGGAAACTACAGGAGCCTGAAAGGGGGTTCTCGTGCCCTTTCGGGTGCCCCTTCCCAATTAGGCCACTCACGCACCGAGAGGTCCAGCAGGAGATCTTTATTGTAGGGAGATGAGCAGGAGGCAGGAAGGCAGAGAGAGAGAGAGAGAGAGAGAGAGAGAGAGAGAGAGAGGAGGAAGAAGAAGCAGAAGGAGAGAGAGAACAAAGAAAGGAAGGTCCTTTTATCAGTTTTGGGGTGGGCTATTGCTTATTTATGAGGAGTGAGCTACTTTTAACCTATCACAGGCCAGATTGTTTTTATGGGCCCAGTCCTGCAGACACAGGTTTCAACTTCCTGGACCACCAGAGATAAGGGCATGAGGTCATTTTAGGAGCCAAGATGTACCAGGAGAATGCAGCCTGTGAGGTGGCGTCACAGCATACTTTAACATGATCAATTCCCTAACAGAGCCCACATATCCTTCTTAAATTTAACTTGTCACATATAAGGTTTTTTTGTACAATTAATGTGTATTGTAACAGTTTATATTAAAAGTCAATCAAGTTTTTCTAAAATGTTAACCTGGCTACATAGCATATTTGACATTATTGCCCTCATGAAAAACAGATGGATTTACAGTAACTTTTGGCCATTTGGATCGTGAGAGTGTCATATACCTACCTAAGGATTATGCTGAACTGTACTTTAAATACTGTGGTACTTTTGTTTTCTTTCTTAAAGAAATGGAAAATGTTTACTATAACAGAGACCGCAACACTGCCCTATCATAAAGGTGGGATAAAACTGTTTTTAAGTCAGTTATTTTAGTCATTTATATTATGTTTGTACATGAACTTTACTCTGACCTGGGATCATGTTTCAGGAAGGAATGAGAGTTCTTTCATTTTTTCTTTTTTTGGTACTGGGGATTGAACTCAGGATCTTGCGCTTAGGAAGCAGGCGGCAGAACTACTAAACTAAATCCCTGGCCCGAGAAGGCTCACTTTCCAAAGCTACTTGTTTACATTGTATTGTGATCACTTTGCACTTTTCATCACAAGATAGAATATTTAAATTCTGTATCTATATCTGTAATATAGCCAGGAATTTCCTGTTTGTGATTTATTAATATGCCTTTTTACCAGAAAAAAATGGCCGTGAGTTATTTATTGTAAATGTATTAAATAATCTTTTCTTATGTCTTTCTACCTCAGGCTTTTTTGACTGTTCCTTTCTCAAGCAACATAGGTGTTCTTAGGAAAAAAAATCAGTGCAGTAATGCTTTTTGATGATTTGTCTTGATGAATCACTTTTTAGAATGTAGAGACAAGGAAAGGGGCCAGTTGTTTCTATTAGTCTTTTTTTATTGAATGCTTTACTAGGTACCTGTTACTCCCTTCCCCCCTTTTTAGTTAATATTATGTTGGTAGTAAAAGAAAAAAATGGTGAGATAATATGGAAAGTCTGAACTTCATGTTCTGGAGACATTTTTTTCAGATGCATTTAGTTTAAAAGAGTATTCTTAGCAGCGATTTGTAATTATAAGACTGGAAGCATGAGTGTCCATAAATTGAGAATTGGATGGTGGTACAACTGTGTAATTTTTATTCATAGAATTCAGCCACTTGAAAGGAGGCAGCGTATGTGTGAAATGACCACCAAAAAGCAAGAATCTATTGTTTGAGTAAAATGACAAAAGGAATAAATACGTACAACTACTTGCATAATCAGACTGTAGGATATAGACATACCAAGAAGCAAAACACAAAAACAGATGAATAGTAACTACCTTTTCAGGGTGGAGACACAAGTTGAATCTGATCTTTTTGAACTTTAACATCTTTGTATGTTAACTTTTCAAAAGTGGACTATTAAGTTGTCAGTTTTTTTTTCCAGAAGTGGTAACTTCAATTTATTGATTTTCAATTTTAATTAGAAAAAGCTTCATAATTATTTTAGTTTAAATTTAAATCTGCTATTTAATTTGATAAGGTAATCTTAAGAGCTTATCTTGAATATGGGTTTATGTTTTCTGGCTGAGTGAATTAACTGGATTGAGCCAGATATGGCTTCTATTTTAGGAGATACAGGGAAAAGTATTGTACAAGGAAAATAGAGAAACTTGAATGGTTATGGATGGTTGTTTTTCTCTGAAATCTGGTGGTGATGATATTTATTTTCAGTATATATTTTAGAGAAGTACCTAAAGTACATAAAGAGGGAGATAAAATCTTGAAAAACTAGAATGTTATATAAATAGTGTTGTTGTAAGACCAGCCAATCAAATGTCTCTACTTTTGCTCAGAACCTTGTATTGCTCATGGCACCTGAGAAGATAGGTCTGTAAATATAAGTAAGGTATTTGTTATGGGCTGAATTTTGTCTTCTCAAAATTCTTATGTTGGAGCCCTATCCTAGCACCTCAAAATATAACTGTCTTTGGATATAAAGTCTTCAAAGAGGTAATTAAGTTAAAATGATATAAATGATCTGAGCCCTAATTCAGTATAGCTGGTATCTTAGGAGACATTAGGATGCAGACACACACATGTATACTGATACTGAATAAACTGACTAGATAATTTTTATAATTTTTTTTCAGTACCAGGGATTAAACTCAGGACCTTATGCTTGAGAGGCAGGTACAGTGACAATGAGCTAAATCCCCAGACCTTAGGGAAAGAAAAAAACAGTAATATATGTTTCATATTGTTATGTTATTCAACTTTATTGTTTAGGCAGATTAGACTAATAAACAGTGGTGTGTGGGCAAAAGTTTATAAAGCAACAGAAAGGACAAGAAAGATGCAGTGATTAAACTATACAAAGTGAAAATAGTAGGATACGAATAGTTTAGTAAGAATTAGATCTCTCTACTCTGATGAAGCACTAATACAAATTACATGCTAATACTCAACTCTTGATTTTCTGGACTAATAGAAGGGAAAAGGAGTATGAATGAACCCAACCAAAGTAAAAGGGTTGTTTGGAAAAATTATATTTAATTTTTGGATTCAGCCAGAGGTATGTGAATTGCAGATATTCATTACTCTTCCCAGAACCAAGTCCTTTTGTAGCATCCCAGGTGATATCATAAATTAAATGAGTAGACTACGAGTATCCTGGTATTGCCAGTTTACTCTGCAAAACTAGCTTTATACATTCTGCTCAGTATTTTAAATTAAAAATGTATGCTAAAAATAAGCTTGTAGAAAGGAACTTTTTTCATCCATTCTGCAATCACAGATATATTCCTATAGTTTTGTCTTCCTTTTTATTATCCTCTACCCTGAAAAGCCTTATCTATCTTAGATTCAGCCCAAATTCTAGTATCTTCACCACTGTTTGAGACCAAATGAATTCTTCTTACTGAAACATCTTTGAAGTTCTTATATACTCAGTAATTATTCCATGAACATGTGTATTGCTTTCTTAACTGGGTTGTAAGCACACCTGTACATCTTCATTTTGTGGCAACTAAAGCATTCCCAGCCTAGTGGAAGGTGTTAAAAGTGAACAAAATAGGTTATTTGGGCCCAATTCACTTGATCAAAATGGAGAATCTACTTGAGCCCCTAAAATAAACCTGGTGTTGGTTTTCTCTATATAAATCATTAATGACATTAAAAAAAATCTCTTCCAGGTTAATTAAAGACACTGGGAAGGGCCGTGGATTTAACTCAGTAGTGCCACCTCCTGCCTTGCAAATGCAAGGTCTTGAGTTCCATTCCTAGCAGCTCCAGACCACCCAAAAAAGATACTGGAAAATTGATTTTTGATTTGCCTGTGAAATAATGTACTGCTTTTCAGAAGGAAAACACTTATAAATAATTTTCATTAGGAATAATTTAGGATATTTGAGGATATTCTATTTCTGGATAAGATAGTTCCAAATAGGATTTTAGTATTATGTGTGATATATATTTAAAAAGAAAAGTGAAATCTTATCTTGAATTTAGTTAAATTGTTTTTGTAGTGAATTCATTCAAATTGTTTTCTTTCCAGACCCAAAAACGTCAGAGCATTACTGGCTTTGAGTTTATCCTAAAAAAGGAAAAGAAAAAACATTTATTTTATTTTAAAGTATTATTGGTTGTTTTACGTGTTTTATTGTCTTCCTCAGATTTTTAAAACCTCAGCTCCATAATATGAGAGAAAAGTATCAGCAGGTTATTACAATAAATCTCTCATCCAGATCTTGGCCCTCCTATTTGAAATCTAAAGATAAAACTGGATTGTAGGAGGAGAGGAAGAATCATATAAATGGGAGAGTCCTCCTAGAAGTGGCCCTCTTTGGAGGCCCTTTTGGAGGCAAAAACAGAGAAAAGGTACAGTTTAGGTCTATGGGACAAGAGAGTTACAAACAGTGCCTAGAAGTAATCCAGCTCTCCCATGGCTTCTAGGCATATACCTTAACCTTTTCATATGGCCCTGAATAAATGGTGAGCTCTTCCATCATAAAAGAAATGATACAGATGAAAGGTCTCAGATGGGGGCACAAATCTATACACCTCATAAGTTTTGCGAAGGAAAAGTTCTACCTAGTTTTTCTCAACCTATTTCCAGGTCATAGACTGTCAGCTCTTCAGAAAAGGAACTGATTTGCTGGGTGCAGTGACACACACCTGTAGTTCTAGCAACTCCAGAGACTGAGACAAGAGGATTGAAAGTTCAAGGGCAGCCTGGGCAACTTATTGAGATCCTGTCTCAAAATAAAAGGGTCTGGATATGTAGCTCAAGTATAGAGTGGCCTTGGGTTCAATCCCACTACTGATAGACAGACAGACAGATAGAAAAGACAGACTTGACAAGCAGCTTTGTGATACCCCAATTGTTTGTGACCAGCCTGCAAAGGTGATACTTTTATGTGAAACAATCAGATTTTCCAGTTGAAAACTTGCAACTAGTATACATCAGAATGAATTCTTGGTATCTACTTCAAGATTTCTCAGGAGAGTTGATGAACTATATCTTTAACAGAGAGAGCTCAAGAAACTTTTTGGATTCTACTTTAGAAGAAAGCCAATAACTGCAAAAAGAATTATGACTAAGATTTATTAATATTTATTAAAAGCTTATTTTCATTTTTTGGTCATCCTTGACCTTGGTAGGCATTGGTGGTGAAGGAAAAACTTAACGTTTTTAGAGGATAGAGGTGAGAGGGGGAATTGGCAAAGGAAGAGAAATCTGAGGATACCGCATCTCATTTTAAACCCATTTTGAGGCCGGGTGTGGTAGCTCATGCCTGTAATCCCAGCACTCAGGAGGCTGAGGCAGGAGGATCACTGTGAGTTCAAGACCAGCCTGGGCTACATAGTGAGTTCCAGGTCAGTTTAAACTACATAGTGAGACCCTGTCTCAAAAAAACCAAAAAACCAAAAAAACCAAAAAACCAAAAAAAACAAAAACAAAACCCATCTTGATTCAGGAGCCTAAGGGGTAGAATAGGTAGTGATAGCATTGTAGTACATTTTAGTATCATGTATCTACCTTAAAAGCCAAATACTGGGAAAAAATATAAAGTTATATGAGGGACTGATTCCTTGAGTCCTTGTTATTGAGAATTTAGTCTTTGTTTTGAGACAGGGTCTTATTAGGTAGTTCAGGCTGGCCTTGAATTTACTACATAGCCCATGTTGGCCTTGAATTTGTGATGATTCCTCTGCTTTAGACCCCTGAATGCTGGCATTACAAGCCTGTACCACCACAGCCAGTTGAGATTTTAATCTTAATATCCAAATAACTAGAATCATTACAACTTTCCGAACTCCATAAATAATTGAAATGTTAAAGGAAAAAAATTGAGACATTATTTTTCTTTTGCTCTCTTTTACATACTAGCTTATATTATTGATATTCTTCTTTATAGTTTTCTTGCTTTTGAATTTAGTTGTGCTAGGCTGGTTTTCAGCTGTTTTATATTCCTTTGCTTTACATTTCATTTCATTATTTTTGTGGCTCTGGGGGTTGAACCGAGAACCTTCATGCTGAGCCACAGTTTTTCTATTTTGAAACAGGGTCTTGCTATGTCTCTCATTGTTCAAGCTGGGCTCAAATTTGTGATCCTTCTGCCTCAGTCTCCAAGAGGTGTGCACCATCACGTTTGGCTCCTTTCTCTCTCTCTCTCTCTCTCTCTCTCTCTCTCTCTCTCTCTCTCTCTCTCTCTCTCTCT